TCATTATTGTTCCACTATACTGGCAAATAATACAAATGTATTATATATCATTGGTTTTTTATAATTTATAAACATAAATGTATTATATATATATATCCCGCAATGGTTATTTTACATGTCACAATTCAAACATTTGTCCTACACCATTTATTATGTATGTTACTATTCATATATTATTTAAAACCATTTCTTTTAAATGAATCGCATTGTTCCACAGTACAAACCACACTTAAACAAATCGAGTAAACTATATATTACCAAAAAGAGTGTATATTTATTTATTCTATTAAAACTAAAGTATTAAACAATATTTATCTATTTCAAATGATTTCTTATATCTTTTTCATGTTATTTTTAATTAATTTTAATCACTTCATTTATTATTATTCCAAATAATTAGATATATATATATTTTTTGAAACACATACTTAATTCAATAGAGAAGGTTAGTTGGGAGCATTAACAACTTATCTATTTTAAGCATTTTATTACCTATTTACATTTTTTTATTCACTTTCACAAATTAGTTCATTAACTGTATTTACTAATGGAATAATTTCATTCAAACCAATTAACATAGAGTTTTTTTATTTGTTTACATAATCAACTATATGTGGACATTCAAATACACGTTCGGATAAAAATCGGTTTTTCAAATATCAAGTTTTTGGACTTTAAAATAAAACGTCATTTGGGTATTATAAATATTTGAATGGGGTTCGAATCTAATTTTTCTGAATCTTGGTAGGTTTATAGAAACCTAAAAATATATAAATAACATATATCTATACATTTAAAAATGTCACTCAACAGTTTGTAAAAAAGGTAAGAACCAGTACTCTCAAACTCTAGTATATATATTATGTATGCGTGCATGTAGCTTGTTGAATATTGATCATGGCAGGGCTTCTTCTCATTCTCCTCTCCCTCTCCACCACAGTCCTATCACTCGCAGAAAGTAAGTACCATTAATTTTTATTTTTTTTATAAGTATGTATCATTAACAAATACAATATTTTACACTCCATACCTAACAATTTTCGGTTTTATCTTACGTTTGGCCTATAAGTTTTTATAATTTGTCTATAATTTCTAACACAATTCGACACTATCAGATATAAAAATTGACTGTGGAGCGTCGGAATCAGACTTGAGGTCCAACAAGATAACATCATGGGTCGGAGACGAAGGCTTCGTTACCACCGGTAAGTCATTCACGATTCATGGAGAGAAGAAGCCGTATAAAAGCCTCCGGAGCTTCCCTTCAGGTAAATCAAATTGCTACAGCAACATTCCGGCGACAAGACGCCGTAAAACACTAGTGAGAACAGTTTTTTACTACGGGAACTACGACGGAAAGTCCTCCCCGCCGTCTTTCTCTGTTATTTACGACATGAAATACATTGACAATGTTACGTTTACTGTTTCGTCGCCCGGTGACGAGAATCCGCCAGCGTTTATATCGGAGGTGATATTTTCTCCGACGCGTAAGAGTATCAGCGTTTGCCTATTCCGTTCGTCTCGTCAAGATGTTCCTTTTATATCTTCCATAGAAGTTTATGGTATGGATGTTGGGATGTACGACGATATTGAACCTTACGAAGGTCTCCTTCTCGGAAAAAGATTTGCGTTTGGTGCCAAAGAGACTATAAGGTACGAGTTCGCATTTACTTAATTGATATTTGACAATTCCATCTAAACCTGTTGACTGAGTTACAAAAAAAAAAATGGATCTACGATCTGTTTACCCACGAGAAATATAACACTAAATATCTATGGAATTATGACCCGTTCTATTTACCCCGAGAATAAAGTTCGAAACTTATTTCCTCACCAAATTTGATTTAGTTATGATTTTTGAAAATCCACTCTCGTATAATAAACTAAACAAAACTAAACTAAGACAAAATAAAAAAATCCGACTAATGATGGATGATAACAGTAACCCAACCCAACATTCAAACTTAAAAAAATCGGACTGATTGGATCTTAATCCGATTAGTCATTGGTTTAACATGGTTTAAGGTTTGCATACAAATAATAAACCAATAAAAATCGATTTTGTGGATTTTTAAATTTTGATCTTTATAACCGTGGGAAAATATCAATATAACTTTAATTTGGTAGAGAAATAGGTTTCAAACTTTATTCTCGGGGGTAAATAGAACGAAATCATAGTTCTGTGGACATTTGACGTTATATGATACTTCTCGTGGAGAATTGAATCGTCCACCCAAAGAAAATTGGCGTTTTTGTTGTTTTTATTTTTAGGTGGACTAACATTTCTTTCTTCTCCTATTTTGGTGAAGTGTCTGAATTTACATATTGTAGTATATAAGTTTTTTTGTAATAAAAAAATCACATTTTCATTGGTCTGTTAGAACATGATTAATGAGGGAGACCCATTCGGGGTTCTTAGAGCTGCATTTGATATTTTTGGGCTAAGAAATGTCTTTGATATCTCTTATTTAGGAGAGTTTTTTTTAATTTTTCATAGTTAAAAGCTAAGAAACGTATTTTATATTATACTAAAACCTTCATTCTAAAAGACTTCATTAATCATGCTCTTAGGTTCTTTGGCTGATTATTCAACCGGCATAATTAACTTTTGTTTGTTGGTTGTTTCTCTTTAATTTAGCGACCCGTACGGTAGGTATTGGTCCCCAATAGGACCAAACAACCCAGGATCCAGCGAGCCAACCACATCACCCTCATCGATTGACACCACAGGCGTGCCCAATAAACCTCCCGCGATTGTTATGTCAAAGGCTTTGTTGATAAAGGGCACAGGCACAGCCTTACCCTTATCTAGCAGTCCGCTTTACTTGGCTCTATACTTCTCAGAGCCCCAAAATCTAGATCAGACCAAGAAACGGTCCTTCAACGTTTTCTTGGACACCAAGCAACAAAGTTCAAATCCCATTGTACCGGTTTTTCGGAAAGCTACTCAGTTCGTCATAAGAGACATTGTAGCCACTTCGATAACCCAGCTGAACTTTGAATCTACCAGTGACTCGGATTTGCCTCCAATCGTTAATGCTATGGAGATATATTCAATTCTTAACGCACACGGAGGTGGTGATAGAAGAGGAGGACAAATCGGTGGTGGTAACGGAGGAGAAGAACAAAGCGGCGGTGATGATGATCGGGAAGGTTATTTTTACTTCATGATTTATTTATAAACATATTAAATTTTTACTTACTGATCAAGTAGTCTACAGTTTGAAACAAATAACTAAAACCTTAAACCTGACCATCTTTCTCAGTTCATAGGCTTGGACTGTAGTAACTTTGGAATTAAATGCGTGATTATAATTTGGTATAGATCATGTATCATTTGAAAGCTATGATTTCTTATTTTTATTTTTTCTAATTGTAGGTCGCCGGCAAAAAAAAGCACAAGCAGACAAAGCAGCGGGAGGTTTGTACTTACAATTTGTATCCATATCTATTCAGTAGTTACTATTCATTTGCTATGTTTGTTGAAATATACCGCCTAAGAGTATCTTTAACTATAGCACTCTTTTTGGGAGTGTTTAAATTTTTTTTGTCTGATTTAAAAAAAAATAAACCAATCGCGGATTAACATATGTCGGTGGACCCGTAAACATCCACCAAAAACAATGTTTATTTTGACTCTTTTGCAATCCAATTTTATCTTTTTCATAGGCCTTCTCTCCCTAAGCACCCCACTAAGCTTCTCATTAATCTTGCTCTAAATGCTTTATTGATATTATAAATAATTAATCAGATATACAAGATGAGTATTAATAATTTTCTATTTATTATTCTATTGCAGTACATAATGTATTATGATTATAAATGTAACTAACTAAACCATTTTCAGTAAACAAAAACTAACTAAACCATTTGACTAGCTTTGGCAAAAATACCTGCCGGGGGGCCGAGGAAACCCAAATTACCACTCATTCTTGGCGTTACGTTGGGCTCTGCGTTTGCAGCTCTCTCATCAGTGTGTGCGGCTATTTCTTTTAAAAGAGGTCAAAATGCTAAGCCAGAGTCCAACACGGAACCAGCCATGTCGACAGGTACCGTCAGCATTCCAGATGCAAATTATCTGTATATAAACACATTTAATCTCAACTCTTAGTTGATATTATATATTTTGGGCTTGTCCTATGTTGTGTGTTTTAGTGTCTAGAGAAGAGGCAGGAGTAGCACCACTGGTCGGACAGCAATTGGCGAGCGATGTAAGCCACCCAGGGAAGGATGATCACCATCAACATGGAGCCGCCTAGACACCATTTTACCTGTAATTGAAGATGCTCAAAATATCAATTTATGTGTTAGTGCAAAAAGGGCATCGTGAATATTCTTACGTCAAAAAATCTTCATAGTCAAATAAATGTAACTATATATTGTTGTTGTCAAAGTTTTGTGTGGGAGTTAAAATGTTGTTGTCAATTTAAATGATAAAAAAAAAAAATCAACCATCAAATAACGAATATGAACTATGATAACTGTAATTGATTGCTGCTATTTTAATTAAATGAATCAATCTTTAATAAAAACAAGCGAAAAGGCTGCTGAATTACCACTAATATTTCTACAAATATCAAAAGAGTTCGGATATTATAATATTTTAGCTTAAATGTTCAGATTACTCAAAACTGTAGATTACACACACATTGACGCGATTTCATCTCCGTGATGATTCTTTAACGTTCTTTCCTCTCCAATTGGTTCTATTATTTCCAAGGTTTTCATTTTCAGTTTACTTTTGAGTCCTACACCAGTTACAATCTATGATTAGTACAGACAGTGGCACCATGAGATTTTTCAACCACTTTGTTCCCACTAGGATAAAATAATTGATGGAGTTCATTAAAATATACACACAATTTTTTTTTTTGTCTACAACTCATACCGTTAAACGAAGTTCTAATCCGATGAGATTGTACTCTGAGAAACAACTCCAACCAACCATGTCTAGTTTACATAAAACATAAAATACTTGTGGACCTAGCCTCGTTTTGATATACTCAAATTAATCTTTAAATTATTATTCTCCAATAAAATGTTTACTGTAATACTTAAAGAAATTACATGGAGAGAATCACACAATAGACTTCTGTTTCAAATTAAGCTAAGCCAGAAAATAGAAAACAATAAAAACAAAGCAGTAAATAGCTTGATTGCTTAGTGATGAGAATAAAATGTTATTATAAAATACTCCTCTGTTTCAATTTGTTACATATTTTAGTTTTTCCACATCTATACTATTATTTGCGAAGTGATTTTTCGCAACGGAGCTCTCACGTTAAAAGTTGGAGTGGTTAATATCGTTTATACCCTTAATGAATAAATATATAAATTAGACATAAAATAAAAACGAAATTGATATTTATTTGATTAGATAAATGATTTAAATTAATAATAATGATAAGAATTATCCATAATCTAAATATATATTTAAAAAAAAAAAAGATAATTCCTATATATATTGTGTTGTTATCCGGAAAATATATTTTAATAAAAAATCAAAAACAGAAAACACATAAAAAATACTCATAAAGAAACTTTTTAGTTGTACATAATTGAAAAGAGAAAATTGAAAAATTTATAATACGTAATTATTTTCTAAGAAAAGAATATAATAATATAACATAATGATATTTGTGAAGTAAATTTTCGCCTCTGAACTCACATGTTAAATTAATTTATTTTTATTTTTTTTATATAGTGTAACATTAAACATGAATTAATCATAATAAAATAAAAGATCATTTCAAAAGAAAAAAAAATACGTTGTTGACAAAATAAATTCAAATATATTGTATTATTATCCAAACTAATATTATTCTTTCTGTAAGATCAATTTTTAAATGTATATTTATTGATTCAATTTATCAAATTGAAAGATAAGTTTCTGTATTTTTTTTATTAATTGAGAAGAAATGAAACATATTTTAGATTTTGTTTTCAAAGTTTTAAAGGGAAAAATAGATTTTTTTAATTTATGAATAATTTTATCATATAAAAACGTTTAATGTTTTAGGTCTAATTTTTGGATGAAAATAATCATTTATTTTGATGATTTTTTAAATTGCCTTAAAAATAATTAAGCCCGCATGTGCGGGCAAAACACCTAGTATAGTAATAAAACTCATAATAAATGCATAACTTTTTGTGATTATTATTTTTCTATAAATCTAAATCAATGAAAATCTAATAAATGCAATAATTTTCTTTTGAAAATCGTGATTAATTATTATTATTTGATAAAATATATTTTGGTAATGTAAAATTAGATCTTTTTAAAATCAAATTTTTTTCTAAACACCTGTAACATTATGAAACAGAAGGAGTACAATTAATAGGGACCCAATGTTTTGTTATGCTCCAGAAATCGAATATAATAATAAGTTATCATTATTAATATGTAAATGAATAATAAAAGATATTTACAGGCAAATTCTCAAACATTTATTATTATCAAAAATATCTTGATATAGACATTTAGGTCATAAATTTCATTGGTAAATAAATTAGTCAAATTTTACCAAAAAAAACAACTCTTGCGATATGAGTTTCACATCTCCAATCAAGGCCGTTGGATAGAGAACTTTCAATAACACTAGGGTTGTACTGTCATTAAATGCGCACGTGTTAAACACTTAAACTACAATCATATCATCATTTACAGAACCAGTCCACAACTATTTTATAATTACACTAAAAGATACTGAAATTTTATATTGGTCACTCGTCAACACGACCTTGCCTCCGATAAGTCAAACCAATGGAAGCTCCGCCGCATGACACGATCTCCGACGACCGAACCCCACGGAGGAGCTACTGGAGATGCAGCAAACAAGACTTCTTCCCGGAGTTCTCTTTCCAGAGCCTCTCCTCCTACAAAACCGCTCTCTCCGCCACGTGTCCCCGCCTCGCCGACCGTCTCCTCGCGCGCTCCTCCGACGCCAACGAGATCGACGCCGCCCGCCGCGAGAGCGAGAACCCCATGCGTCGTTGCCTCACGTGGTGGGACCTCCTCTGGCTCAGCTTCGGCTCCGTGGTCGGGTCTGGCGTGTTCGTCATAACGGGCCAAGAGGCCCGTTCCGGAGCGGGCCCAGCCGTTGTGCTATCCTACGCCATCTCAGGCGTATCGGCCTTGCTTTCGGTGCTATGCTACGCCGAGTTTGGAGTTGAGATACCTGTCGCTGGAGGCTCTTTCTCTTACCTTAGGGTTGAGTTGGGAGACTTTATTGCCTTTATAGCTGCTGGGAATATTCTTCTTGAGGCTATTGTTGGTGCTGCTGGTTTAGGGAGGTCGTGGTCTTCTTATCTAGCTAGCTTGGTTAAGAATGATTCTGATTATTTTCGGATTAGAGTTGGCTCGTTTGCTAAAGGGTTTGATCTTCTTGATCCCGTCGCTGTGGCGGTTCTGTTAGTTGCTAACGGTATTGCCATGAGTGGGACCAAGAGGACTTCTTGGTTGAACTTGATTACTTCCGTCGTCACGGTTTGTGTTATTGTGTTTATTGTGGTTGTTGGTTTCACTCATTCGAAAAGCTCGAATTTGGTTCCGTTTTTCCCTTACGGAGCGAAAGGTGTTGTTCAGTCTGCTGCTGTTGTGTACTGGTCGTACACTGGGTTTGATATGGTTGCTAACATGGCTGAAGAGACGGAGAAGCCGGCTAGGGATATACCGATTGGTTTGGTTGGGTCGATGTCTATGATCACTGTGGTTTACTGTTTGATGGCTTTGGCGTTGACTATGATGGTGAAGTATACTGAGATTGATGCCAACGCGGCGTATTCGGTTGCTTTTGCTCAGATTGGGATGAAGTGGGCTAAGTATTTGGTTGGTATATGTGCTTTGAAGGGTATGACTACTAGCTTGCTTGTTGGTTCTTTAGGACAAGCTCGGTACACTACTCAGATTGCTCGGTCTCATATGATTCCTCCATGGTTTGCTTTGGTTCATCCGAAAACCGGAACTCCTATTAACGCTACTCTCCTTGTAACCATACTCAGCGCAGTCATCTCATTTTTCACCAGCTTAGATGTTCTCTCAAGTGTTTTCTCCTTTGCTACATTATTCATTTTCATGCTCGTGGCGGTAGCGTTGCTCGTGAGACGTTACTACGTGAAGGATGTAACTCCGGAGAGTGGCTTGTTGAAGTTTCTTGGTTTTCTGTTTCTGATTCTTGCTTCTTCCGTTGGTGTATCAGCGTTGTGGAACGCAGGCGTTAGAGGCTGGATCGGTTACGCGGTGACTGGAGTCATATGGTTTATAGGGACTTGTGGATTAGCATTGCTTCCTAAACACCGTGTTCCTAAGGTCTGGGGAGTCCCTCTTGTTCCGTGGCTGCCATCGTTTTCAATAGCTATGAACCTTTTCCTTATAGGATCACTCGGTTATGTAGCGTTCTTGAGATTCATAATCTGTACCGCGGTGATGCTTTTGTATTACGTATTCGTTGGTCTTCATGCAACTTATGATGTAGCTCATCAGCCCATGGAGCAAGCTAAGTTTGAAGGAGAGAGTTAGCACATGCAAAATCGATCACAACACTTCATTATGGTTTGGTAAATTGTATAATATCACATGGTTTTCATCTGTATTTTTTCTATATTCTTGTATTTATTTAAATTACAATAACAATTGGATCGTTCCAGCTTCATATTTATCTTCTTTTCATTTGTTAGTGTTTAAAACTTGTTGAAGAACTCTGTTGTATCTTGGAATTAAAGAACGTCTTTTCACATCCTTTTTTTGCCAATTCAGTCTCCATGCATTATATTTCGTAGGTAGTGTGCTTTATGGAGAAACCACAGATACCGACTAATCAAAACTTACATAGAAAAATTTCACTCAAGCTCAGTCCGAGCTTATTTTCTTAACTAAACATTACAACTTGCAAGACATGTCACGCTGTTTTATATTACTGCGTCTTACAGGTTTAAGAATCCTCCGTTGATTATGGGTTATGACATACGAATAACACCACATCCGAATGACAGTCGAATATGCATCAAGAAATATGAACAGCATTTTATAACCTATGAAGCTCTTCTCAGTAATAAGCTCTGCATCATTATTTATGACCCAAGCTACCGGCAACCCGAACGTATGACGCGGTAATTGGGCTTGACTCGATTATTTTAGCCCAAAACTGAACCTAACCCGAAAAATCAAGCCCATAAGACTCTAATATATAAACGAAAGCTTAAAAATAAATGGAGAAAGAAAGAAACGGAAGCTTAAAAAAAAACCAGAAGGAGAGAATCTGTGAATTTGATTAGAGAAAGAAGGAGACGAGATGGGAGAGAGGAAGGTGCTTAACAAGTATTACCCGCCGGACTTCGATCCGTCGAAGCTCCCCCGGCTCCGGCGACCGAAGAACCAGCAGATCAAAGTTCGTATGATGCTTCCCATGAGTGTCCGATGCAGTACCTGCGGCAATTACATCTACAAGGGAACCAAATTCAATTCCCGTAAAGAAGACGTCATCGGCGAGGTTAAATTGAATGATTTTTGGTTTTGATTCAAATCCAGGATTGTTGTTAGTGAATTGAATCGATTTCAGATTTAGGGTTTTAGGGTTTTAGGGTTTTGAGAAATTGTGATAAGTTAGTACAACCACTTGGACGGCTTTTGTTTACTGACCATGGAGATATCTATTCTATAATCTAGTTAGAACTGCTTCAATTATTATTATCATATTATAGGTGTCACTTTAGCGGATTAAGTAAACAATTAATTTTATATATTTTCTATATGAAAACACAATTAACACACCTAACCATATTTCAACCAATAGAAAAATAAATTACATAATAAAATTAATAAATTTTGCATTAAAACCGAAAACAATACTTATTTTGTGACGAAATTTTTTTTCTATTGTGACACTTAATATGAAACAGAAGGAGTATTGTTTTGATTGGTTTTTTTACTAATCAAACTAGTGTCTGTGTTTTTGTTTGGATGTGCAGACATATCTGGGGATTCAAATCTTTAGATTCTACTTTAAGTGCACCAAGTGCTCTGCAGAGCTGACTATGAAGACGGATCCACAGAACTCTGATTACATTGTTGAGTCTGGGGCAAGTCGTAACTATGAACCCTGGCGTGCTGAAGACGAGGTAAGGACTTCAGACTTGTTTAGGTTTTTTGAGGATTGATTTACGAGTTTGTAGTTTACTAATTTACTGTGCTTTTTTTTTGTACAGGTGCTTGATAAGGAACAACAGAAAAGAGAGGCTGAGGAGATGGGAGACGCTATGAAGTCTTTGGAGAACAGGACTTTGGATTCTAAGAGAGAGATGGACATTATAGCCGCTCTTGATGAAATGAAATCAATGAAGGTATGAGACTGATGTTTTGTCTCTCTGTTGATCTCAGTATTTCAAATCTGAGACATGTATTTATTTCATGCTGCAGCTACATGCTGGAATAAGTCTGTTTTTCTTTGTACTGATTTCCTTTTGTTTTGCTTTTTGCAGTCTAGACACGCTACTGTGAGCGTAGATGCAATGTTGGAGGCCTTGCAAAGAACAGGCGCTGAGAAGGTATATGTTCCTATTACTCTGTTTGGCTTGTTCATATATGTAATGATTTGATATTTTCTTCACAACGTGCTATTGTTGAGTCTCTTCTATTTTGCTCACCTTTTATCCGTGAAGAAAGTCATCTGAAAGTTGTTATGTTAAGTTATATCTCTGGCTCTGCTGTTAACGGTTTGTCTTTGACAGGTCAAACGTATAGAAGAAGAAGATGAAGCAGTAATAAAGTCGATATTTGGTGTAAGTGTTCATACCTTTCTCTCGTAAATGTTGGTTCTCCTCATTACATTTAGTGTTGCTAAACTTCTTCATATTTCCTGTCTAATCTAAACGCAGAAGCAGAAAGAAGTTGTTAGGAGAATTGCAGATGACGAGGACGATGATGATGATGATAGCGATGATTCTCCCAGTCTTCAAAAGGAGAAGAAAGGATCATCTTCCGATCTTTCAAAGGTTTCCTTCATTGAAACGCTAGTTCTTTAAGCATTTGCAGACATGGCACTTCCTATCACCATGTGTTATTTTTGGAATCAGGATTAACTGTTAAATTCTTTTAATTTTGATACAGAAGAGAAAGTCATCAGAAGAAAGTCCAAGCAACCCCACAGATATTTTGACTAGTTCTTCTACAGGTGGGTTTTCAATCTTTCTTCCCAAGATTATTGACTTTAATTTCCAAAATTGTCGGTTGAATATACTTAACAAATTTCTCCATTTTTATTAGAAATTCCGAAGGAGCCCAAGAAGAAGCAAGCTACCACCAAGCAACCCTTCAAATCCGTTCACATAACAGTCATCAAGAAGCAGTCTCAGCCAACCTCTTCGACAACTCCAGCTCCTGCAAAACCAGAAGAGGAGAAGAGCAAGGGTGTGGCTAACACTGGATTAGCATCTTTATTCCAGAACTATGGCAGTGATGAAGACGAGGATTGAATCATATTAGTTTGTTTTGGGTTCTCAACAGGTTCCGCACTTTTACAGATCTTATATGACTGTTTTAGAATTGGACCAATCATGATACTATTCATGTATGAGACTTCTTGAGTCGATATAAAAATGCATATTTCCAGAAATTTGTTTATGAAATTGTTTTTGCAGAGCAAGAGGATCTGCAAATCATTTGGATTAATCAACTTACAAACAAATACAGCAAAATGCATCATAATAAAGACCAGAAATGGTGTCTTGCATCTCTCACTTTTGCCCTTTCTTCTTCCACAACTCACCAAACATCTTCATCCCAGAGCTCTTCCTCTTCCCACTTCCAAATCCATCCTCAGAATCATCACCCATTCCTGACGGTTCCACAAACCCAACCACTGCACTCGGGTCAAACAACCCATTTGCAAAACACTTCTCCCCTGACCCGTACCGCTCCCTACCATTCATTTCAAACTCTCCAGAAAGAACTGCAGCTGCAGCATCTGCCGCCTTCCTCCACTGCTCGGTTTGAACCCTCAGCTTCTTCATCTCAGTCTCTAACGCTGCTTTTGCTTCTTCCGTGGACTCTAGCCTCTCCTTAAGCTGAGCTGTCTTTGCTCTGCTTTCTTCTAACTCTTCCCCGATCCGACTCACCTTTGAAGCCATCTCGTCTTCACTAGCTTTCACGTTAGACATCTCTGAAACCGAGTTGCTTAACTGATTCTTCAAGCTCTCGTTTTCTTTGCCTAGTGATTCATGTTCTTTCTCCATGTCATAAAGTTTAGCTTTCAACATCTTGATCTCGTCTTCCTTTGCTTCTTCTTCTGCTAGTACCTCAATCTTCTGAACAGGTACCTCAAACACATCAGTCTCTTTCTGCACATCACCAGGGATTTCGTCTCTATCAACTGTATCAGCCTCAGAAGCAGACCCTTTCACACGAGTTAGAGGGTTTGGTTTCTTGTTATCATGAAGAAGCTCAGGTTGAGCTTGTTTCTTGACATCTTCAGCATTTGCCAACTGCACTTTGAGCAATCTCAGTTCCTCCTGCGCCTGTCCTAACTGCGACTCTATATCCGATATTCTTCCCCCAAGTTTCTTCTGACCAAGTGGGTCACTGCGAGCCCCACCACCACCGCTTCTAGGAGATCTACGGTCAACAACACCAAGCTTAGAACTCCGGTCAGTAGTGATCAGACGGTTGGGTTGATTCGAGGCAGAAGTAGTTGACAATGTCCTCAACCTCGGAGCTTGTTGCCTCTGAGACATCTCTGAAACTCTGAAGAAAGAAACACCAGAATAGTTACATCATTTAACGAATAGAGATCAAATGTAGTAAAAAAATAATTACCTTGGTCTTGCCATTTTTGTTTTTCTGCAGAGGATTTAACTAAGACAGAAGGCCAAAGTTGGTGGAAGCTCGAAGTGTTATCAAGTGGTTGTGAAAAATCTGAACCATAAATAAAAAAAAAGCAGATGTCATTTATTACAACAACTACCAAAAGCCATGACTCCTGTCGGAGAATTACAAGGAACTTGCTTAGATAAAGTGGTTAATCTTCAGTATCTTTTTTTTTGAACTTGAAATCTTCAGTATCTTTCATGAAGGTTTTTAAGCTTACAAATAAATGACACAGAATTATCAAAGCTACAAGAAATTTGAAGAACTTAATACGTTATGAAGATGTTCGTTTTCACTTTCTAAACAAGAATTCAACAGAAAGAAGGATTGAAAACTTACTTTAAAGGAGATTAGAAATTCAACAGGTGACTTAGAGAATAATGTAGAAATAAGTCAAAGACTGTATATTAAATATGAAAAGATAGGTAGATTCTTTTCGTTGGCTGATAGTGAGTTGATGATAGGAACAACGAAAAAAACAAGAAGATCCAAAATGAGAGAGAGGGAGAGTTGTAATGTAACGCATGCACCTTTTCGAAGCAGACAGCTTTATTTGAAGACTCTCAAAAATCAAGAAAACTTGAGACAGGAAGAGAGAGAAAGAGAAATGTGTGTGTTTGAAGATTTGAAATAAAGCTGATGAAGCTGGGCGTAGTGAGATTTTAAAAACGAGGGACCATTTGTGGAGACAGGGGCTAAAGTGTAATTTACAGCCTTCCAATAACGTTAGGCATAACCATTTATACATATAAAAACCATTTATGTAAAAAGAAATATACAAGACTGAATGTCCCCTATGTTTAAATCCATGAACAATCGGATATTCTAGACCATAATCTGACATTGGTGAGAAACTGAGGATGTAATTATGTATAGAAAGTTGGAGAACTTAAGCTGAAACTAATCAATGTAGAACATTATGATTGTATTTATTTACATTCCGTGATGGCAATTGCATACGCATATAACTATACTTTATGTTTAAAGTATTGTTGGTGTTCAAAAAGAAACTTTAAAGTATTGTGTATACTATAGTTTATTTTATATTAAATACGCACACATGTATTTACCTACATATCAAAATTTCTGACACTTTTGTTTCATCTTGTCGGTTTTAAACGAATATGATATTTGCATTAATCTTCTCTAATTTCGACGTTTCTTTTTGTGATCACCTAGACGTCGAGAAACCAATTTGATGTTTGTTTATTGCAGTTACTTATATATTGATGGCATGGCTGTTCATAAACTAAACAATTATTGTTAGGTTAATAAAAAAACGATTCTTGTTAATTAGTGTATTATATTTATAGATATATATTTTATCTGATACTGTCACTAACTAGTTTGGATTTGATTTTTAGTCATTGTCATTAGCTAGTAGGTGTAAGCTGGCTCTATCATTTGTTTCATAATGCTTAGTTGAATCATTCAACTTAAAATCCAGTTTCACGTGTTTACAAATAGAGATAATTAATTAGCGTAATAATTGTAGAAGTTAACTTTCTTTCTTAAATTCGAAGGTGTGTATTGTTCTTGATGTAGAGATGATTGTAGAAAGAGTAAAGTGTACCGATGATAACATGTAAATTAGTTTTTTTTTCTTTTTGATATTTTTTTGTAAACATTGACCAATTTTTTAAGTTGATGAGTGAATGAAGTAGTTAAAAGAATATTTGAACTGGTTTAATATTATTACTCACTCTGTTTCTGAAAGTAAAAATTTCAAAACCTTTTTGTAGCATAAAAATAACTTGTATACATTTTCAAAGTATTTTTGTATATTTTAAAAAATATTAAGTAAGAATATTTGAACTGGTTTAATATTATTAGTTGATACTTATTGAAAAATATATATTAAAGTTAATAAAATTTAGTTGTAAACTTCATTATATTTTTAATATGCAAGAATACTATAGAAAAAGTTCCAGAACGGAATGAATATTATTTAAATTTGATAATTTCCAGTTTGGAGCATAACCCAAGATAGGCTTCGTACTAACATAGGTTAATCAAATTTAGAACGAGACTATAATAAAAAGTGGTACTCAAATTTACATTTAGAGAAAACAATTAGATTTATTAGCTCTAGGTAATCAATGGTAAGTGGACAGACTAAAATGAAGTGTACTTAATACTTCAAGAATCACGGACAAAGCATGTGAGGAGGAACCCTAAGGAAAATCTTTAAAGCCCCAAAGATGACACCACACTTCAATTTTATCTTCTCCTCATTTAACAGTGTCAAAGAGACAAATGCATGTGAATCTTCATTTTTGTCGTCCTTTTTGACATATCCTCACGGACCTCACCTACTAGCATAACTATTCTTTTACTTGGTCCCTAGCATCATCCTCCCAGTATTCTATTCATCACAATATGCACTTCTAGCTAACTGATAATCAATGCTAAAATAGCAAAATCACCCCGCAATTATGCATCAACTTCTTCTTTTTTTGGTAACATTATGCATCAATGTTAATTTGTAATTTTGCAAGACTAATGACCTTCATCAAGTATCATTTTATTTAAAAAGGTCAGAGATAAGTCTTAACTCTCAAGGCCGTGAAGCAACCGCAATTCATCTTGGCCATTCATCTCTCAACATTTACTGCCCATTTGATTAACCGTATAATAATCCCATTTGATTCGTTTGAAACTGAGTTACACAATCTTCACGTCAATCTGACGGGTATCAGGTTCAAGACATGGGAATCTTTCGTTTCGGAGATTCACATTTTCGAGATTCTCGTACAGAGAATATCAAGATGGCTGATGTAGGAAACCTTATCAACAACGAACTGAAATATTGTCCTTAACCCAAAATTAGTAAGCTTCTTACGCAAGAAACAAGTTTCTTTTTCTTAATTTCACTCAAACTCAGATCAGATTAGATCAAGTTTCTTTTTGCGTTCAGAAAATCAGTTTAAGTGTCTATCTAATCAATAATCCCCTGTAAAATATCTGATATTGCAAGCTAGTTTTTGAACATTAAGTAAAAACTTTCCATGCTGACATATTCAGATAAGTGACATAAACTTAATACATAACGGACCTGACGGTCCAGCCACCTCGTTGTGTGAGAACGTTGAAGTTTCTGCTCGTGGGAAGATGTTTCCTCCGAGTTTCCTCAAGTGATTTTGTTGTATTTAATATTCATTATTGGTGTAATATGTTCTTACAAGTTGTTTCCAAAGAGAAATTGGATTGGTTTAATATGATTTTTTTTTTGATTGATTGATGATATATTAATATCTATAAATAACAACATTGTGCTGGATAACTATTGACTCTTTGAGAATGGTGAAATTAGTAAACCACAAGATAACAAGTGAAAAGGAGTGGATGTTCAAAGAGACAGAGACTACATTATTCACAATCATTGATTTGGTTGTAGCTAATGCAACCACTGATGATATACTCTTCCCTCGTGATCTCAAGAGCTTTTATAGGTAACAAGAGTTGAAAGAGTATCAGTTTTAGATACTAGATTCAAGAAGCTTCAAGACAGATGCTCGATCCGGCATGCTAGGTATTGCACCTTTTACTCGGACACAGAGAGAGGCAGCTGCAGCTGTAGGAACCGGAAATGGAAGAAAGTGAGACAAAACTAATACAAGTTGTGTGTTATGAAACTAGATGTATTGGTGTTTGTAACTAATTTACCAGCAAATCTCAAGCATTCCTCATTGGACTTGCCCTCTACCATTGCCACCGCAAACGCTGCTGTAAAAGTATCCCCAGCTCCTGTAGTATCAACCACTTGTGAAGCCGGTATAACTGACTGCTGGATCGGTTCTTCCCCTTCTATAAATAGCGAAGATCCTTTAGACCCCAGTTTCACAAGGACTTGCTTAACTCCCTGAGGAAGAAACATAGCTTAAACCTTAACAACTGGATTTGAAAATCTGTTAGAGAAAGGGAAACTTACCAAGTTATGACACTTTGCAACAGCCTCACTAATCTGGTCAAAAGTTTCAGTTGGCATTCCAGTCAAGCGACTCAACTCAGTTTCATTGGGACTCAAAATGTCAATATAATCCAAAAGCTCATTAGGGATTGGCGTATCCATTCCTCCCACGTCTAGGATTACAGGTACACCTTCTTTCTTCACAGCCTGCATGAAAAAACAACACCAACAACCTAAGTAAGTTTTCTTAACTTGATGTACTCAAAAGTATATTGATCAATCTACTAAATTCATATTCCAAAATCTCAAATTGTGTGACACACATTATTATCTCAAACTGTTTTTTAAAGACAAGACACACATTATAATCTCAAACTGTGTTTTTAAGACACATTAAAAAATGTCTTAAAGTATAGTTGATCAATCTACTAAATTCATATTCCAAAATCTCAAATTGTGTGTTTAAGACAAAGACACACACATTACCTTAGCAACTTGAATATTAATAGAATCAGGAATTTCTCTTTGCAACAACACAACACCAGCATTCCTCACGATCTCAAGCTCCTCATCACTCATCTTCTCAGGCCAACCTCTCATATTAGCACCACCCACGATAATAATCGAGTTCTGACCATCCTCTTGAAGCATCACAACCGCGTGTCCCGTCGGCTCGTCCTTCACCGATCTCACATAATCCAAATGTACTCCACACACATCTCCCAACGCAGAGGCGATAAGTTTCCCGTGCGCGTCGTCCCCTAAACGACCAACGAAGTAAGTAGGATAAAGCAGTTTGGCTCCACACGCGGCTTGATTCGCGCCTTTTCCTCCCGCGAGCGTTTGTCCTGTCTTGGCTGAGATGGTTTCGCCTTCTTTCGGTAATCTATCGATCTCCACGTAGATGTCTGCGTTCGCTGATCCCACAACTACCAGAGGTGGCGGCGCGTGGGAGTCAGTTGTTGATTTAGCATTTAGGACACGAAAGAATCTTCTGGGAAGAGGACGGTAAGATCGAGATGTGGTCGGAAGCTTCACTCGATTGAATTCGATGTTTGGAATGAAATTATTCGACTGAGAAAGTGATATCCCTTTCATCATCGTTGTCATCGCCGTACGCTTTTTTAGTCTGAGGTCAACGCAGACAAGTGATCTTAAACTCTCTCGAACTCAGAACTAAACTGTCTTTGTCTTAGACGCGCGTCACTATTACGTACAAGTCACGCTATGAATGTTAACCGATACTTAAACCGTACCACGCATAAACCAGATTTTGATTTATTCTTTTTCCCCCTCCATCATACGGACTATGACGCATGCAGTGGCCTAATAAGCAAACTATAAATAAAGAAACTGAAAGACCATTCACATGTAGCCAAGCAACTATGTGAAACTATAATCAATCCACTACACGCCAGAAACAAAGGTATAAAAGATAATTATTCTACTTTTTTTTTTTTTGAACGAAAGTCTAACTTATATTTTTTTTTGTTTTTGGTCAATCTAACTTATATTTTAGTATGCTAAATAACGAATAAAAAAATAGAGAGTCGTTGAATCAAAATTGTTCTCCCTTATACAATTCTGATTTTTTTAAATGGCAAGCGTTGCTGACAAAAAAAAAATGGCAAGCAAAATGCGTTAAAATTCAGCAAAAAAAAGCTCTATAAATTATATTGCTTATCGTTCTCTTTTATTGAGTCTTCACAACACAAATATTAGATACAAAGGAAAAAAAACAAAAAGGGAATCGTATTAGTGAGCCTAACCTAATTAAGAGCAGTAATGGCTGAGGATGTGATTCTTCTAGATGCCTGGGCGAGTATGTTTAGGATGAGGACGAGGATTGCTCTGGAGGAAAAGAAAGTTAAGTACGATTATAGAGAACAAGATCTTTCGAATAAGAGCGCCTTACTCCTCGAGATGAACCCGGTTCATAAGAAAATCCCGGTTCTCGTTCACAATGGTAGACCGGTATGTGAATCTCTCATCCAGATCGAATACATCGATGAGACTTGGCCTGGTGAAAACCCACTTCTTCCCTCCGATCCTTATGAGAGAGCTCAGGCCAAGTTTTGGGCCGACTTCATCGACAAAAAGGTATTTTAATTTCTAAAAAATATTTGTTGGTTTGGTTCCGGTCTAAGTATATTGGCAATACCCTCTCAAACTATTTTAAGACAATATATAAATAATATTAAATTATTTTTACACATAAATAGTGATGCAGTGTTTAAATTAAATTACTCTATTTATATATGTTTATTTTTTTTTGGAATTATATGCTCTAGATCTAAAAGTATAATTACGTTGAATATTTATATCCTAATTTATATATTGGTTTTCATTTGGTGTTTTGAAATTTTACGAATATGGATCAGTTGAATGTTCCAGCGTGGAGGGTTTGGGCAACCAAAGGTGAGGACCAAGACGCATCCAAGGAGTTAATCGAGATACTCAAGAGGCTAGAGTCCGAGCTTGGAGACAAGCATTACTTTGGAGGCGAGATGTTCGGGTTTGTGGATATAGCTCTCATTGGGTTCTACAGCTGGTTTGGAGTATACGAGAAATATGGGAATGTCAGTATCGAATCAGAGTGTTCAAAATTAATTGGATGGACCAAACGGTGTTTGCAAAGAGAGAGCGTGGTTAAAGCCCTGCCTGAGTCAGAGAAGGTCACTGCTTTCATTTCCGAGCGTAGGAAGAGTCTTGGCCTCGAATAGATCCTCTTCTGGTGTTATGTTGTTCTATATCTTGCTCTTGTCATGTTTTCCTCTCTTTCAAAGGTTCATTTCTGCATAATAATACGGGTCTGTGAGGTTGTTGTGTAACAGTGTAAGTACTGACCGATGCTTGGTTGTTTTTGTATCTTCAATGTATTTGGAAGTATATCTCAGTTCGTTGAAATTCAAGAAATTATAAGCATCAATCCATTTAGTCTGAACTTAGATCATAATACATATAATTTACTATAATCGGATAAGGATTTTTTTTTTGTCACAAAATCAGTTAAGGATAATCTCCTATATCTTAGGGATTTAGACTAATCTACTATTCCTATTCCTATCTAGATTAGGCTATCTATATATGTAGGAACAGACAGTCACTGTCAGTGTCAGCGTAAGATTACCGTTCAGGCAATCATATACAAAATTTGGCGGGAGAGAAACCAAAGACATACAATGGAACATCAACACCACCACAAGTAACCTTCAAAGAGATCGATAGACATGTACCAAATGTAATCTTGGCAAGAAAACATCGCAGGAAATTCAAACACCTTATGAGAATATGGCTGAAACATGAATAAAGGCTCATCACAGATTCTACAGGCTTAATTTAAGCTCTCTCCTGTTTTATTTTTTTGGCTTGGGATTGCTTCTCATTTTTAACCTTTGTAGTAGTATAAACTCACTCATTTTGATTAATGATATTCACATCCTTATCGAAAAAGTAATTTACTTTTTCATAAAATAGTTTAAATGGTTTAAACAAGTCAGATTTTGTATTAACTTCATCAGTTATTGATTAATGATATTCACATCCTTATCGAAAAAGTAATTTACTTTTTCATAAAATAGTTTAAATGGTTTAAACAAGTCAGATTTTGTATTAACTTCATCAGTTATTGACCAAAAATAATTAATTAGTCAATAGTTTCATTAGCATGCAAGAAGGGAATAAACTTTTGAATACATTGAACGTTTCCTTTTCACTAGATTTAACGTTTAATGTCAGAGATTCTGACATTAATGTTTCTCAATCCCTGACTTTAATGTCAAAGCTAATGAAAAGGATATGTTCAGTCAAGTCAACTTCATTGTATTAAACTGCTTAAGTATGAATTTTATTTGTTTGTTTGGAAACTATTTTAATGCAAAAGTTAATGCATTTCAAAATAAACCCGGAAGCAAAAATCAATTCAATCTCTTTTTGTTGACTATCTCCTCTATATAAAATGATCTAACCTTGCTTCTTTCATCCATAATATACACTTAAAAGACACCAAACAAACACATATATCTCAGTGAAGTTTAATCGAAGAGCAACAATGGCTGATGAGGTGATTCTTCTTGACTACTGGCCGAGTATGTTCGGAATGAGAACGAGAGTTGCTCTAGAAGAGAAAAACATCAAGTTCGGTTACAGAGAACAAGACCTATTCAATAAAAGCCCCATTCTCCTCGAGATGAACCCGGTTCATAAGAAAATCCCGGTTCTCATTCACAATGGTAAACCGGTTTGTGAATCTCTCATCCAGGTCGAGTACATCGACGAGACTTGGCCAGAGGGCAACCCATTTCTTCCTTCTGATCCTTACCTAAGAGCTCAAGCCAAGTTTTGGGGAGATTTCATCGACAAAATGGTAAAAGAAAAAACGTTATAAAGATCAAAAGGAAAGAAGCGTTACTATTTAGTTTAATTTCATTAACAATGTATATGTGGTTAGGTGCCCGGTCTAGAGAAGTTGATGTGGGGAGCGAAAGTTGAGGAGCAAGAGGCTGGGAAGAAGGAGTTCATAGAGATGCTCAAGACTGTGGAGTCCGAGCTTGGAGACAAGACTTACTTTGGAGGCGAAACATTTGGTTATGTGGATATAGCTCTTATTGGATTCTACTGCTGGTTCGACGCTTTTGAGAAGTATGGGAACTTTAGCATCGAAGCAGAGTGTCCACAAATTATTGCTTGGGCTAAGAGGTGTGTGAAGAGAGACAGTGTGGCTAAGTCTCTTCCTGATTCAGACAAGATCACTAAGTTTGTTCCTGAGCTAAAGAAAAAAATGGGTATCGAGTAAGATCTGTTATAATATAATATATGTTCTGTCTTATTTTTCTTTTCTTTTCGGTTTCTGTTTTGTTTCTGCTTTGTTTGAAGTCATCATAATAATACAAACACCCTCCAGTAGTTTCATTACAAAAAAATGCTTCATTGATTGTGGTGGAAAGAACTGAAGAAGATTATGATTCATTGAAATGTCTAGTTATTATTAGTTAGATTTCATGGTATCGAAACATGTTTGTTTCAAATAAAAGCAACACAGTATCAGTTCTGAAAATGATTCGGGGCGGGTACTTTAAGTCCAATATAAAACGTTCTATTCAAATTGGTCCTTAAATCAAATCAGTTTTGGTATTTCTTTTGTTTAGATCTATGTGCAAATTTTATAGTGCGAATAAGTGTGAGGTTGCTGAATGCGTTACGAGTCAATGGCTATTTGAAAACACGAATTGAAAAACAGTGTGACTGTGTGATTATCAACCAAAGTAGTCAATTCGGCAAATGAGATCGAACATAAAAGAGCCACTAACATAATATTTGAAGTCAGAACTTCGGTATTTTAAAGAGTGGATGCTATAGTTGATATGCATCATATATGATCTATTGTATCTGTTTTCACATTGTTGTTGATTTTTTTCTTAATAATAAGTTTGAACCGAAACAGAATTGTTGCAGCGGAGATTATGTATATGTAACATATGCCGCCCTATCATATACCTTTTAAGCCTCTCAGCCAAAAAGAAAGAAAGACATACCATACCTGGCTACCTGCCCACCTTTTTAACGTGGTTCAAGAGAGTAGTAGTGAGATTGTGTTCAAAAAAAAAAAAAAAAAGAAAGTAGTAGTGAGATTATAACAAACAAAAATAAGTACTGTATTAGGTGTTATTCGACGTCATTCAACCATTTTACACTTTTGGAATTTTGATAAAAAGTTAGATTATATATATAGTTATATAGTCAAAGCACGTGAAAGTGATAGTTTGGATATCGCTATATTACACAATATTTGACGTTTGTTCCCAGCTCTTACTTATTCCATTATCTATCTGAAAAGATACACAAACTATTGGGTTGTTCTGGTGTGGAACTAATAATGGATTGTATNAGCACGTGAAAGTGATAGTTTGGATATCGCTATATTACACAATATTTGACGTTTGTTCCCAGCTCTTACTTATTCCATTATCTATCTGAAAAGATACACAAACTATTGGGTTGTTCTGGTGTGGAACTAATAATGGATTGTATGTTAAAAGAAAAAGAATGTTGAATTACATTTTGAGTTAAATAATAATACTTCGACTTAATAACTATATGTATAATAATAGTAATACAGCATAACATCTATCAAGTAAATTTTGAAATTTTATCAGCTGTGTCAAAAAGGAAATATTGCATGTTTTAGACAAGACAAAACTTTAGAAACCAAAATTTTTAGACATCTTTGTCGACAAAAATATACTCCAAAGTTTTACTTACTCATTTTGAGTTAAACTGAGTAATCTATACTATTATTTACGAAGTGATTTTTCGTAAGGGAGCTCCCACGTTAAAAGTTGGAGTTGTTAATATCGTTTATACCCTTAATGAATAAAATATATAAATCAGCCAAAATAAAAAATGAATTTATATTTAATTAGATAAATGATTTAAATTTGCGAAATGATTTTTCGCAACGAAACTGCCACGTTAAAAGTTGGAGTGGTTAATATCATTAATAGTCTTACTGAATAAAATATATAAATCAGCCAAAATATAAAACTAATTTATATTTATTTGATTAGATAAATGATTTAAATTAATAATAATGATAAGAATTATCTATAATCTAAATATATATTTAAAAATAAAATAAAAAAGATAATTTCTATATATATTATGTTGTTATCAGAAAATGTATTTAATTTATATATAATCAACCATAAATTAGAAAAAAATTTCACAGATTTGATGACTATTATTATCTAAAATAGTTGATATTAATAAACCATAAACTAAAACTAAATTAATATATAAGTAACAATAAATTAATTATATTTAAAAAGGTGAAATTTGCTGGTTTATCATATTCTCCACAATTTTATGTAATTATACTTAGTTATCATATTTTTATGATTTTGACTAATGATTAATTATTACCCTTAATTAATGACTATTAAAATTATTATTATATAATTATGAACCGTATATTAATTACATTTACTACCCTTAATGACAAAACAAACATAAACTTAATTGGATTTATTACTATATAATGACGAATTAGATCTATTACTATATAATAATTAGAAACAAATCTTATTTGTCATGTTTCTTATGATTTGATGATTACCATTATCTAGACTAAATATTATAATAAATTTAATTATTCATTATATAGTAATAAATCTAATTAGTCATTAAGTTTATGGTTGCTTCGCCATTAAGGATAGTAAATCTAATTGTCATGTTCTTATGATTTTTACTACCCTTACTGACAAAAACAAACATAAACTTAATGACTAATTAGATTTATTACTATATAATGACTAATAGTTATTACTATTTGACCAAAAAAATATTTATTACTATATAATAATTAAAATTTTTAATATATAATTAAATATAAGTAAAAAACAAATTTTAATGATTTTAGATTTATCTTTATCTAAAATTATTTTATATTGGGTTATAAAATCTTTATTAACCTTGAAATATAATTATATTTTTAGTAATATATCATTAATTATAAATTAAAAACGAATTTTATTTATTTGATAATCATCCTTATTTTTTTTTATATTATGTCTTTATCAACATTGAAAAATAATTATATTTGTTAATATATAATTAATTCTAAATTTAAAACGAATTTCATGAATTTGATAATTATCCTTATCTATTTTTTATATTGTGTTATAAGTCTTTATTAACCTTCAAAAATAATTATATTTGTTAACATATATTTAATTATGAAAAATTAATTCGCAAAGAATTTATGTATAGATAGTTTACGCTAGTAAAGATAATTTTATTATACTTTTTTATGTCTAAAAATGATATTAATTTATTACTAAATATTTTAAATTTATGAGTATTTTCATATTTAATTTGTGTAATGACAATTATTTATAT